CTCTTTCAGTGATTCATTATCTAAATTAATGTAAATCTTTTAATCACACTGGCATGTAAAACAGGTGTCTTCACTAAAGAATTTTAAGGCTTAATGCCTGTTTAAAGGCTGACAGCACAGTGCAGCCGAAGTCCATGTCAGGAGGCAGGAGATCAAATTCTTACTGCCAGATCTGCCACAAACCTGTCTTGTAACAAACAAATTTCATTTTATCCGTGTCCTAGTTCCTTCCTTCTCCTGGTTATTCCAGCTGTATGCCTCATGCTTAAACTTAACCCACACTTCACTGTGAGGACCCACGTCTTAAAGGCCACATTAGTACGAGCACACCATTCCTACTAAACTTTAGGCAAGAAAGCCAACACTTACCAAATCTCCAAATGCCCTTTCAAACCACCCTCTCCTTTTCCCCAACCACCAGATTTCTACAACTTTGATTCTGCATCTGCATACTTGCAATTGTCTCGCTGCAAGCGGTGAAACTCAGCATTCGAGTTACACTTGACAAGTGGGGAAACCTTAACCCTGACGTGATAGACCTTCACTAATAACCAGTCTAATACTAGCCTCCTATTTCAGATTCATGTGGATTAACGGAGGCACTTTAACAAACTTCCTTCGAAATACTGCCCCAAGAAGGGCAGGTATCTGAAATTTAACATGAAAATCAATAAGGCTAAGTACTAAACATAACAGAGCACAGCAATATGCAATTCCATCAAGAAACATCAGCTCATCCTCATGATACCTTAATTTTCTCATGTTAAAAAAAAAAAAGAGCACAATTACTGCAGCAGCTAAGTCTTGGGAAGTTACAAAGGCACAGGTCCCACTAATGGTCTCTAAAATGACTTTTATTTCTTGGTTTGACACAAGCACAGAAAGACATTCACCAGCACTGTATCTGTATAACTAACCCCACTAGCAGCTGCGGATCAAACCGTTTTCTGCCCCCAACCCCATAAGAACTGGCACAAACAACGCCTTAAAGCACACTGGAAAGATTTTGAGCCTTTCTAAACCAGATAGTTACTTCCACGAGTCACCTGCATCATCTCATTGCTATTTAAATGCTGTCCTCACAATCATAGATAAGAGAGTATTTTTTTACAGAAACTATCCTTTGAGCTGTAACCTACAGAATCCATAGCCCTGGCCAGATCAGCAACGAGCAATAAACAGGAAGAACAAACAGGGAGGCTGCCAACACGTTTGCTCTGTAGCACACACACACACACACTGTGGTAAGGAGAGCTCTGCCATAGTGTGCAACAACATTCCCCCCCTGCCACTCCCAGAAGCACCCAGCTAAAAAGGAACAGGCCCTCAAAAGCACCGCCTTCTGCACACTGACATCTGTCGCCCTGCAATACAAATAGCCCCTGTCCAGTCAACACCGGATCTCCCAGCTGGAGGAGTTCAGTGTAACTTAAATAGGGAAGGCACACCTCACACTAGGGCTCAGCACCTCCCGCACCTCATTACCCGCTATCTGAAACGAAGCAGTGCTCCCACTGCACATCTTGACCTCTCCACAGAGGGCCTGGGCAGATCACAGTGGGGAAGCTTCAAGGCTGTCAACACACCCCACCATATCAGGGGTATGTATGGCTTTCACCCAGTGCTAAGGGGATTAGCTGTCACTGCAACCAGCGCAGTTAAACACTTCCCAGAGCTGAGTCTCAAACAGCAGGCAACCACTTACATCTCAGGAAAATGGTGGTGTTGCTGAAGAGAATCTTCCCAAAGTTAAACTTCTTCCCCTGCAAAGGTACAAAAAATGAAAACATATTAGTGGGCTTAATGTCACTGAGCTTAAGTAAACATTCCCTTCCACTCCGAGTTTTAAGTTAATACAGCAATGAAAGCGAATGCCAAATCAGGAGCCAGCCTTACTGGATTTTCCAGTCATACTTCACCACCCCTTCAGCCTGCTCTTAAAGATGGCTTGGGAGGCTTGGGGCTTTCTGTTCTGCAAAACTGAATCCATTTCGACACCATTTGTTGAAATAATTAGCATTTTTTTGCTGATGAGAAGGTCTGGACTATCCAACAACAAAAAAAATAAAAAAATTGTTCCAAGAATCAACAGGAGTGTTCACCGTAAACCTTCAATTTTGTTCCTGAAGCTCAAGAGCTTCACAGAAAACGTACGCTACTCCCTTCCCCACCCAGGGCAAGGCAAGTTTAACGTGAGGCAAAACAGCTTTTCTACACACAACTTCAAACACGCACGGAACATGCCAAGTGCCAGAAATTTCTCCACCTTCCCGGAGGCCCACGTCTCTTCTGGGTTCAGCCTTTCACCGGGGCTCAGCTTTCCCGACGCCGGGCCCCAGCCCCACCGCACGGGGGGGAGCCGGGCGCCCTCTCCCCACACAGGCCCCGCCGAGGCCGGGCCGAGGCCGCCTCCCTCCCCACACACAGACCGCACGGGGGCCACGCTCCCTCCGCCGCCCACCGAGACGGCGGCCACCTCCGACCCGCCAAAAGGGACGCAAGCCTGGCACGGGGGCCCCGGCAGCGGGACAGGACGGGCTGGGACCGCAGAACAGGCCCCTCCGCGGACCCCAGAGCCGTTCCCCCCCCCTTCCTCCTCCCAAGGAGGACGAGCAGAGCAGCGGCGGCCTCCCACCGCCGCCACAGCCAGCCGGCCCAGCGCCTGAGGGCCGGGAGCCCCGCACACCGCGCCGCCCCGGCCGCCCTCCCCGCACTCACCGCCAGCACTGGGAGCCGCCATTTGGAACGCTGCCCGGCGCCCACCGCGCCCGCCAGCAGCAGCAGGGCCAGCAGCCGCAGCAGTACAGCCTCAGGCCGCCGCCGCCCCCCGGAACGCGGCGCCTCCGCCGCCATCCCGCCGCACGGAGGCCACCGTCGCCCTGACCGCGCCTCTTCCGCTACCCGCGGCGGGAGGGGGGACGGGACGTGGCTGTCGTGGGCCGGCGGGAGCGGCGCGGGGGGCGGAGCCGGTCCCGGGCTGTCACCGCCCCGGGGGACAGAGCGCTGCGCCGGGAGTTCCGGCACCTGTCAGGCCGTTACGCTGAGGGAGCTGCCGCCGCTCCCTCAGAGCACCCTCACCCCGGGCTCTGCCGCCGCCGTGGGAGGGCGGGCGGTCGCCCCATCTCCCCGCCATGGATGCTGTCTCGCCGGGGGAAGTCAGGTAGCGGATCCTCGGCAGGTCTTCGCCTTCCTCACGGTGTTGCCCGGGTGGCTGTTCCGCGGGGAGCGGCGGGGGGCGGGCCCGGTG